TAACCGCACTGATCACTCTCTGGCCACACTGATCACTCACTAACCACACTGATCACTCTCTGGCCACACTGATCACTCGCTGACCACACTGACCAGTCACTGACCACTCCCTGGCCACACTGATCACTCACTAACCACACTGATCATTCACTAACCACACTGATCACTCGCTGACCACACTGACCACTCCCTGGCCACACTGATCACTCGCTGACCACATTGATGACAATGGTGTGAAGTAATGTTTGCATGGGGCAGAGGGTGGGTTTGGCACGGGTTCTAGTCCATATGGGAATGGTGTTCCCTTGGCGAGGTTTCTTTCCATCCTACTCTTGGTGAAATAAACTGGAGAAAGTTAGCAGGTTCTCTCTGGGCGAGCTGGCTGGGGGCCAGGGACCTGACAGATGTGGCTCTGCCTCTGCCAGCTGCACAGTGGACACTTGCTGATTCAGGCTGAAACACTCTGGCAATCAGGTAGTAGGATTGAAGGTAGGACCGTAGCAGGGGTCAGAGGGTGAGCGTACCAGTCAGAGCTCTCCAAACAGAACCAGTAGGGTGTGTGTGCATGTGCATGACACAGACGCTCACACACTCACACACGCATACATACTCATATACACACTCATGTGGGCGCACACACCCACACCCACACATTCACATACACAGACACACACACGCATTCACACATGTGCACACACACATATGCATACACACACACACAAAGCTTTATTATAAGCAATTGGCTCATGTATTTATGGAGGCGGACAAATCCCAGAGCCATGGTTGGCAAGCTGGAGACAGTTTAAGTCCAAAGCCAGGAAAACCCAAAGTCCCATCTCAAGGCAATCAGGCAGGAGGTGTCTCTCTCACTTCCAGGACGGTCAGCCTTTTTGTTCTATCCAGGCCTTCAACTGATTGGACGAGGCCCACCCACACAGCTATGGGCGATCTGCTCTACTCAGTCGATCGATTTATTTATTTTTAAAGATTTTATTTATTTATTTGACAGAGAGAGACACAGCGAGAGAGGGAACACAAGCAGGGGGAGTGGGAGAGGGAGAAGCAGGCTTCCCGCAGAGCAGGGAGCCCGATGCGGGGCTCGATCCCAGGACCCCGGGATCATGACCTGAACTGAAGGCAGACGCCCAACGACTGAGCCCCCCAGGCACCCTTCAGTCGATCTATTTAAATGTTAACCATTTAACTCCCCCCCCCCCCGTTTTGGGGGGCACTGAGAGTAGAACATGGGAGGGGAGACAACCAACAGCCAGGAGAGGATCGTTCATTCATTCACTCGTTCATTCCTCTCTGGGGGTTGGAGGAGCGCACTAGCAGTGATCCCGTTTCTGTCCACTGAGGTATGTCTCGTGCCTGCCGCAGACTGCCACAGAGTAGGCCTTGATCCGTGCGTGGCTTTGGGTCAAATGCCGCTGACGGGTTACCCCTTCTGTGCCCACTCTCTACGCCCTGCCCCGCTGTGTGCTTGTCCCTGCAGGTGGTCGAGCCTGTGGCTGAGAGCCAGCCGCCCCCGGCCCTCCTGCAGCTGACAAAGTCATCCGGAAAGAGCTTCTTCCCCGCTGTCCCCATGGCCTCCAAGATAAAACCCAGCCTCAGTGTCCACGCAGGTACCAGATCAGAAAGATAAGATAGCAGGATGGGGCTTCATCTGCCCCTCCTGCCAAGGGTGAATCTTTGGAAAGTGCGACGTTTTGGGCTGCTATCAGCTGTGTGCGCCTTGCTGTTCGTTTGAGGTCTTCAGGGCCGGGAGTGGGCCAAGGCCACTGGCTTCACGAGACGAAACATTCCCAGGGGCACTCGGCTTCACTTCGGGCCCACCTGGCACCCCAACAGAGTCTGAAGCGGTGGCTCAAAACACGGCGGGCTGCCTGCGTGCGGTCCTTCTCCGTCTGGGTTTGAATTCTGGCTCCTGAGCACAGGATGAGCTCGTGGTGAGAACTTCGGAATGCAGGTAAAACCCTCCGCGAGAGAAGACCACTGGTGTACTCCTCCGTAAGGTGGCCTCCTCCTGGGTGAGTGGCGGCACAGACACCGGCCCCTGTTGTAGGCTAGCCAGTGTGGCTGGCATATCAGAGCTGCAGACACAGAGTGGGGGTGTTGGCACTCCTCCAGGGGTGCCCACAAACTGTGCCTGACAGAGGATGTCGAGACCCAGCTTCTAGAAAGCGTGCCACCACTTGGGATAAATGGCCTGCATCCTGTCTCTTTGAAAATTTTCCCATTAGTCTTTCTAGTGATTCATCTTTATTCTATTTGCAAAAGTACCAGCCCCGTCGAGGCTGGGAAAAAACCCACAAGCAGGTCAGTCCTGGCCACGGATGAGCCTGTTTCACTGACCACGTAATCAGAGCTCACGGTGACAGAACGCTTGCTCTGTACCAGGCGCTCGGTGGGTGTCAGCTCACTTGTCCTCACAGCAGCCCTGTCCCCGTGGCACAGAGAAGGAAACTGAGGGACCAAGGTTCAGGGCCTTGCACGATGTCACACGGCTGGGAGCGGCAGACCCGATCCCTAGTGCTCGACCGGACTTTTATGCCTTCCCTCACGTCTGGTTTCGGTATCAGGGCATGTGTGGGTCAAGGAGGGAGTGCGTCCTAGGGCCGTGGCCACGGACTTCGAGGACCGTGGCAACGTGCTCTGTCTCGCTGGTGGGTGTGCACCTTGCACAACCCGGCTCATATCCGTGCTCTTAAATTCTTCAGAAGTCTCTGATCCTGGGACAGAGTTGGGACTCACCTGTGATTTCTCGGTTCGGCTCCTGGGACGGCCACTGGCGACGCAGGCCTGCGATAGCACCGCAAAAGCTTAGAAACTCTTCAAGCGTTCTCCATCCGTATGGGATTTGCCACTTTCAGGAGCTTTTATTAACTCGTCCTCCTGTTTGCACGCTCGTAAACAGTCACACGGTCCCGGAGAGCACAGTGGCATCAGGCGTGCAGGGCCGGGCGCGTGCCCACCACTGTCCTCCCAGCGGGCGGCCAGGCACCCCAGTCCCCCGTCCTCAGGCCCTCCCCCGGAGGGGCACCAGGGGGACACCTGCTGCTGGGGCAGCTCTGGAGAGGCCTGGCTGTGACCGTGTAGCCAAAGCCACTCGGCTCCTGTGACTCCCGTCCCCTAGAGACAAGCCCCTTGGAACCTGTCTCTACAGGTGATTTAGAAAGGAGTTTGCTTTGTCCCTCCTCCCCCATTTTATTATGAAATTGCTAATGGACCCAGAAGTAGGAGCAGCTTCCCAGTGCAGTAGCGGCCGTCCTCCACCCACCCTGCTCCTGCACTCCCGAGACACGTTTCCATCCACTCGAGCGTTGTTTGCTTTCCTGGAGAGGTTTCAAGGAAATCCCAGAGCGTGCCGCTTCCCCCGTGAATCTTTCGAGAGCTTTCCCTCTGCGGTGAGAGAGCGTTTATTGTACATCACAGCTAGACAGTTCAGTGCACTTCCCTATGTCTGTGTACAAAAGAAACCAGCCTTTTTCAAATAAACCAGAGTGGGCGAGAAAGGGAGGTGCTGAGCCCCGCTTTGTGGGCACCCCGAGCAAAGGCTGGGCCCACCCCACAGGAAACAGAGGTTCCCCTCTACAGCCCTTTGTTTCTGTGGTGGAAGAGTCTGAGCCTGTTATAGCATCATTGGTCCTCCTGGATCTGCAGCCGCTGGTTCAAATGGGTTAACTGAGCCGAAGTGACGTCTCCAGGCCCGCACTGAGTGTTGCTGGTGCAGCCAGGGCTGGCGCTCCCGTGCCCCTCCCACTGGGCCTGGCTGTCTGCTTGGAGGAGGAACACACGTGTCCTCGGCAGGTGTACAAGGAGGCCCTGCAGGTAGCCGGGGTGGACCAGGGATCCCGTATCGCAGGTGGGGGCCGTGCGGATCTGTGCAGGGAGCCCGAGGATCACCACTGACTGTGTTTACACAGGCCCGGGCTCCCCTGGGGCAGGCTGCTTGGGCCGAGAGACGCTTGCAGTGGTAGTCTGACTGCTTGTTCGCAGTTTCGGGCAGTGGTGTTGCTGGCCCTGCACTCAGGCCTGAGGTGTGCGGCGTCTGGGTGTGCAGCGTCGAGCCTCGGCCCTGCGGGCATCTGAACGGGCGAAGAACGGCTGTCACTGAGTGGACGGCGGAGGGGTGCGAGGAAGGAGTAAACGTGTCCCCTCATTTATCACTCACGGAAACCCTACCACGTAGATGCCCATTTCACAGAATGGTAGACACCCCCAGCGAGGAGGGGGCGGCCAGGCCCGGGCCGCACAGGTGCTCCTGCACCTTTGTTCTCATCCCTGTCCTGGGCCAAGCGCAAGGTGCGTCTTCCCCACGCCGCCTGCTATCTGCCAGCTCATTTGGGGAGCGTGAAACCTGCCCTGAAACCTTCCTTAAAAATGGTCGAATCCTCTAAACGAGGAGCCCTTTCTCCCTGATGAGGAGCTGGAACAGCTCAGGACGCTCATCCCTAAAGCAGAGACGACAGCCCGGCAGCTCGGTCGCATTGGCTGCCCGGCTCGCTGGGTCTCTGGCCTCCCTCCCTAGTTGCGTCTCCTGACGAGCTTGTGCGCGTCTCCCTGCGCGGCTCAGGGGTGCTCTTCAGGTCCGACCCCCGTTCCTTTAAAACTGCGGTAAAACTCACACACGAAACTCTGCAGTGTGCAACGCAGTGGCATTTAGTGTACTTACGACGTTGTGCGTCCCCACCACTGGGTGGTTCCAGAACATTCCGTCACCCCAAAAGGAGACCCTGAACCCCATTCCCCCCGCTCAGCCCCTGGCAGGCACTGACGTACGTCCTGTCGCTGCAGGTTGGCCTGTTCTGGCCACTTCCTGCTCACGGACGCCCACGACGTGCGGCTGTGGGTCTGGCTTCTCGTGCGGGGCATCCCTGGGCTGTGGCAGCATCAGAGTTCACGCTCTGTTACGGCCGGTACTAGGCCACATGTTTGTACTGTCATCAGTGGTTTCCACCTCCCGGCCATCGTGAATCTCTGTGTACAGTGTTTGCTTAAACGCCTGTTTCCGGGTCTTTGGGCTAATCCCCGAGAGTGGGTCTGTGCATCACGACGCAATCCTCTGTTGAATCTCCTGGGAAACCACTCCCCCGTCTCCAACCAGGGCCGCACTGTGGCGCATCCCCACCAGCAGTCCCGAGTCTCTGTCCCGCTCTGTGGGCTCAGTCCCGTCCCCTCTGCTGCGCCCAGACCTCTCGATTCCCCATTCCTGCCCTGATTCGCCAGCAGTAGCGGCCCGGCCCTGGTTAAGCGTCAGGTGCGCTCTGGGCCGCGGTGGGGGTGGGGTGGGAATGGCAGCCCGAGAACAGAACAGCCCCCTCTTGTGGGGACACGTGTGCCAGGTGGAGGCAGGGGTCGGGAAGAGAACAAAGTGACCAGGGCAGACCACAGGGCCAGGAATCCGAGCTCAGGCCGTCAGGTGGCCTCTGCTTGGGGGCGCCCAACCGTGTCTGGGGGAGACACCCTCTCCCTCGCTGCTTCTTCTTCTGTCTGATTGAACTCTGCTCAGTAACCCCGGGGAACCCTCCCCGTGGCTGGGTCATGGCCGGCTCAGAGCAAACAGGGGAAGGAGAGGGAAGGAGAGCATGGTTGCTGGGGGAGGGAAAGGAACCAAAGCCAGAGGGGGGAACATTCCAGAAGGGCCTGGGCGGTGGGGAGTACAAACAAGGTGGCCTCAGCAAAGAGCCCAGTGGGCACATGGTAGGTACTCAACACGCTGCATAGATTGCTCATGATTTCCTCTCATCCCCAGGACTCACGGGGTGGCCCCTAAACTAATGTCCTCTTCTCTCCTGTTCACGGTGTAGACGAGAAGATGCCCCCGGTGCCTGAGGTCAGCTTCACCCTCCCCAGCGCCACGTGGCAGAGCGCCCCGGGCCTAAGTAAGGCCCCGATCCTGCCCCGGGACATCCGAGGTCAGTGCCCGCGCCATCCCACGGCTCCCGCGCCCCTGTCTGCCCCCGCCACCCGCCCCCAGTCTGTCCGTCCTGCTCCCCACGCAGCCCTGCCGAGTGTGCAGCGGCCACCTGATGGGACGGCTCGGGTCTAGAGCATGAGCAGAACCACCGCGCCAGCCCGGCGCTTGCATTCAGAAACAATAATGCTTGTTTCGTGTAACTGATGGTTAGAACAACCTCCCAGAAGGGTTGTGCTAATTTTGCACATTCGCCCGCGGCGTTGGGAAAACGCCAGTTTGACCGTGACCCTGCCAGGCCTGGGCGTTAACCTCGAAACACAGAGGACACATCCCATCCCTCTTCTGCTCCCGTGTCTCAAAGATACATCCAGTCTTAGCATCTGCCCTCATGTTACCCTCGCCCCAGCCTGGGAGGTAGGGGCTGCCCGAATCCTTTCGGGGGTGGGACACCCCCTCTGGAAGCATTTCCCGCCCCCTCCCACCCCGAAACCAACACACAGCTGAGCCATCAGGAAGGACAGATATAAATCATCAATAGGCCTAACGCCCACCCGGGAGGGAAGTTCTTCCTTACGTCTAACCTCAGTCCCTCTTACTGTAGCTTTAACCTACACCTTCCTGCCACCGTTTCAGAACAGGTCAAGAACTCGTTGTTGGGTCCTCCTTTCCAAGGGTTCTTGGGGAAGGGGTCTCAAAGGCGCTCGCTGGCCGTGCCCTTGTGGCCAGTGGCGTAGGCCGGATTAAACAGCGTGGGGGATGGGAGATGCGCCACAAGGACTCTCCCACCCTAACTGCATGTGTCCCCTGCGGTGGAGAAAGTGGCTGGTGGGGGGGGGGTCTCGGGGACAGGCCTGTGTCACTAGAGTGTGCGGGGAAGCGGGGCCCTAGGCTGGGGAGGCGCAGTCCCACAGGGCGCAGGCGGAGCCGGAGGAGGGAGGCGTGCCCACGCGGGTCCTGAACCGAGTCTGGCCGGCGGCTCAGGCCAGGACATCCGCACCAGGGACCCGGCCGTGGGGACTCTGGCTTCGTCGGAGTCAGCCTCAACCATGGACTAGAGTCTCCCCACCCCTCCAGGGTCTACAGATAGTGGAGGCCGGCACCACAGCCCACTGCCCCCCAGCGCCCCCCGCAAGCCCCGGGGCAGCGCCAAGCGGCCACGAAGGCCCCAGTGAGGACATGAGCCGGCAGGCCACAGAGGCCTGCCCCGGAGCTGGGTTCGAGAGACAGGACCCTTCGGGGGCAGCCCGCCAGCTTTCTGGGGCTCTCTGTGCTGGCAGCTGCCTCGCCAACCCCCTTCAGAGGGAGGGCCGTGGATGGGATGTCAGAGCCCTTCTGAAGGACGCCTCAGGAGGAGCCTCAGGCCTCATCTGGGTCATTCCCAGCCGTGGGTGCTCGTCCCGGGATCACTCCACCCCGCTGTTTCTGCTCCGGGAGAAAGCTTTCATTCTTCTCCTGATTGGGCGAGGCCCACCCACACTGCCGAGGGGCCTCTGCCCCGGAGTCTCCTTGCTGATTGGAATGCTAATCTCATCTGAAGCTCGCCTTTCGCAGCACCAAACACCTGGGTGCCATGGCCTGGCCAAGTTGATGCTCACATTAACCCTCACGCCCCACGAGACTTGGCCGGCAGAGTGACACCGTCCCGTGCCCATGTTTGCACAGGCTCCGGAACAAGCCAGCGTGCAGCGGACACGGTGCCCAACGATCGGGAGCCGGCCGTGGAAGCTGTGAACCCAGGAACCAAGGTTCTAACGTCTCAGCAGGATAGAAAAGTCCGGGAAGCCCCCAGGACTGTCCCTGGAGCGCCGGGTCGCCACCTTCTCTGGATCTGCTTTTGACACTTGCTGTGGCTTTGAATCCACTGCCCACGTGACAGGCTCTCAGGGGCACCCCGTGTGGAGGCCGTGGGGACCGGAGCCACCTCCCTGTGGCAGGAGCCACGCCGGGTGAAGCATCCAGTGGAATCGGCGGGTTTGGGGAGTCAGCCTATAGCACATCAGGGCCGGAGGGTGGAGGTGGTGTTGTGGCCTCGCGGCCTGAGTGGGAAGCAGGTTGTCTTGGACTTGTGGGTGCCTGGCACAGGGTGGACACCCCAACGTGTTGTGCAAACTGCACGGCCGGACACCATGGTCTGGCTCCCCTCCCGTCCTAAGACCCACTGTCAAGGAGGACCCGCTGGGGTCTTGTCCTCTCTGGGCCTCCTGGAGGAGTGTGTGGAGGTGGGGAGGTGGTCCCACATTTATGTTTGGGGGCTCTGCTGCCTGCTGTGTACAGACCTGCCGGGGGCCCTCTGATGCCCACCTCCCCTTCCCTGGGGGCAATGCTGAGCCTGGGGGTGGGGGCGAATTCTGCTTTCCCACCCTGGCCCCAGATCCTGGGTAGGGCAAGAGTTACTCGTTGCCCCCCTACATCTGCTCGCTTTCTTCCAGGATAATAGAACCCCCAATTTTTAGCTAGTCACACGGCTCCCCAAATAAGGACTGTATCTCCCAGCCTCCTTGGCGGCTGCATATGGCTGCGTGACTAAGCTCTTACAGATGGGATACAAGCCAGAAGCAGCTGCTTCCAAGAACTTTCACCACAAAGGATCATTAGCATGTTCCTCATGCCTCTTTCCTTCTTCACTTCCTCAATCCTACTACCTAGAATTTGAATGTGATGGCTGGAACTCTAGCCACCATTTTGAGGCCTTGAGGACAAAGGCCATGCCCTCAGGAGGATGGAGCAGGCAGCCGGAAGGAGCAGAGATGCCTCTCAGCATTGTTACATCCTACCCTCAGATGTGAACTTGAGAGAGGAATGAGTGTACCTCATCCTAACTGATCGGGGAGGGGAAGCCCAGGCAGTTGCTGGTTGTGGCTGAAGAAGTCCCTGGTACTTTTGTGGAGTGATGTCAACAGATTAGAAATGACAGCATGGCCCCCAGGTTGTTCCTAGGCTGGCGTGAGCATACAGCAGAAACTCCTGGTCTTTCTACACCCTGCCTTGAGCTGGGCGGGAAAGAGAGCAGTGGACCAGGAGGCTGTGGACCGGCCCGTGCACCTGAGAAAGGGCTGAGGAGGCACTTATATCGGGGGCCGGGGGTGGGTAGGTAGGGTCCCAGCCGCACGGGGGTGTATTAGTCAGGGTTCTCCAGCAAAATAGAAGTACTAGGGTGTGCGTGTGTGGAAATGTTTAGTTTAGCCGTGGGATTGCACAGGCTTGGCGAGTCCACTGTCTGTGGGGTGGGCCAGCAGGGGAGGCCCGGGGCAGCGCCGTCTGCTCAGGGAAGGTCAGCCTTTTGTTCTATTCAGGCCTTGGGATGATGGGACGAGGCCCCCCCCCACATTATGGAGGACCATCTGCTTTACTCAACGTCCGCTGATTTACATGTTAGTCTCACCCCAAAACACCTCCACAGAAACATCCAGAATAACGTTTAACCGCCTGTATGGGCGCCCAGCCAGGCAGACATGTGAGATTCGCCATCGTAGGGGGCGACACAGGACCGGGAAGAGCCAGGCCGGAGAGGTTCACACCCTTTCCACGCCAGCCTGCGACAGCCGGGGAGGCCCCCGAGCTCGGGGTCAACCCGGGTGACGGAGGCTGGGGGAGGATCTTGAATTTGGCCCAGTTTGAACCCAGAATGACTGAGGAAAACTGCACAAGCATCTGAGTGTCCCCAGGGGTTGTCTTTGGGCGCACCAGAGTTCAGGTGACTGTAGATTTGCACCTGTGACATCAAGGTCACACTGTGATCTTGAAAATTATATAAAGGGAGTGATAAAAACGTCCTCCCCTGCCCCGTGCTTTCTCGGAGGTAAGTCCTCTTTAATGATTGGGTGCATGCTCCTCTCGGTTTTCCCCTGAAATAACGCAATTCAGAAGTGTCTCAGCTTAGGTCCCCACAATGGCAGAGCCTATCACAAGACTAGGGCGCAGGTGGCTTCTTCGGGAGGTGACGCTAGGGGGCGGGAGGGAGGAAAAGCCACCAAGGGCGGGCACCACCAGGGAGCTGCTGCTGGCAGCGGGAGGCAGAGTCGGCCAGGACCCTGCGCTTACAAGCAAGCCTGTGGAATCGATCCCCCAGCACCAGGGGACAGGATCCGGGGGGCCCTGGCCCTACATTAGGCTGTGTTCGCAAGTGGCCCGAGCATTCTCGCCCCGCCCCCTGCAGGAGAGGGGCCCCAGGGCAGAGAATGCAAACTCTGGTGCCAAACTCAGAGCAAAGTGCATTTTGGCACTGTCCACAGGCTGCAGCTGAAGGCCAAGGCGAGGCCTGGGGGCCAAAGGCATCCAGGACAGAGAACTCCTTTGCACACACACTCCCTCATGCACTCACGTGCACACACACTCACACACACACACACACCCACGCACGGGTCTCCCGCCTGCCTCCCTGCTGTTGCTCCCACGGTCCTCTCTGCTTGGAAGCCCTCCCCACCCTCCCTGCCAGCTTCTGGTCCTCACCCAGGAGGCCTCCTCTCCTTACCTGCTGGGCCAGGGACTCAGAGCCTCCTCTGTCACGGCACACATGGACCGTGTGACAACTGTCTATGCAAGTGTCCCCACCACTGCACCTTCGGCACCTCAGACAAGGCCCTGCCTTCCATCTGTGTCCTCCCTGGCCTGGAGCAGGGGCCTGGGCACGACTGCGGAATGAAGGGGTGAGTGAGTGAGCGGGTGTGGGCAGGCACTGTGCTCAGAGCTGGAGGTGCAGGGCCGGGGCCCCGGCCTGGGACATCTGTGTGTGCTGGGAGGCCAGGCCCTCTGCAGCCTTGCATGCTGGGAGGCGTGCAGAGGGGTACGCGTGCAGAGTGGCCATCCAGGGGCTTCGCGGTGCCCATGCTGGGACCCAGCTGAGGCACGGGAATGCAGGCACTGAAACAAATGACTGTCAAATAAGGGGGGGGGGCGGTATAAACTTTCCCAGGCCCTAGCCTCGCTGCAGGCCTCTGGGGCTGTCATCGGCCTGTGGCCTGGGGATGTGGAGCACGCTGTGGCTACTCATGACTAGGTGGCTGAGCTGGGCTTTGAACCCAGGGTGTGTGGCCTCTTCCCTTGTCACCCCTGGAAGCCAGGCCAGATATGCTGGGCAGTAGGGAGCCACAGCATGTTCACGAACAAGGAAGAAACCTGAGGGTGTCTCACTGTTGCATGGAACCTGGCTCTTCGCATGCACCTGCTGGGCGGTGGTGGGCTGAACGCTGATGGACGAGGAATGGGAATGTTAGAGAGTCCTTTAATGTTTGCAAACCAGGTGAGATCCCATGGTATATGCAGTATACACACACCTGTGGGTCTACACTCACCTGTATGTGCTGGGTGGAAAAGCCGTGGAAGGAAATCCTAGAAACGGGTCATAGTGAGGGGCTTGGGGGCATGTGGGCAGCAGACCCCTTTTCACTGCATCCATTTTCTACCCATTTGGATTTTTATCGTGTTCCTGTATGACTTAATGTGAAAAAAAGAAAAGGAATTATTTTAAAAATAGCCATGGTTCCATTATATGCTGGTGTGGGCAGCTCTCTGAAATACACCGACTGAAAAACAAATAGAGGCTCAGAACAGTATGTATGATATGCTTTTATGTCTATATGATGACAATTATATAACATAGGCAAATATGGTGGATGTGAATTATTTCTCTAAGAATTCGCAAAACACAAAGACAGAAACCGGTGCTGCATCTGCAAGGCCCAAGCCACTGATGAGAGGGCGGGTGGGGCTGGAAGGAAGGGCTAGGACTCAGCCCTCGGAAAGGATTCTTTGTTCTACGGACAGATTCTCCACAAGTTCCTGCGGCTGCTGCGTCCCCAGTTAGAGCCCTGGTCAGCACCGTGTGTGTGCTGCGTGAGTGGCAGGCCAGCCCCAGTCCAGTCCACGGGGCCCCTCCCAGGGAGGGAGGGAGCTTTGTACCGCCCTTGACTTTGTTAAAGCTCTTCCTAGAAGGTTTGCTCTGAGGCTCAGAGGGTCAGCTTTCTCCTCTGCCTGTGACCGGAGGTCCAGGTGGTACAAAGGTACCAGGTGGGTCAGGGAGGGAAACGGAATCCTGGGGGTCCCAAGGCGGGGGGCCGAACGGAGCCCCAGCCGGCACTAAGTGCCGGGGACGCAGCCGCCACTGGGCAGACACATACCCTTGCAGAGCTCATGTTCTAGAGAAGGTGGGGGCAGAGAACGAACAGGAAGCCCTCTGACGAAAACAAGCTACAGGGACAGAGTGCTGGGCGGGCTACTTTAGAGGGGCTGGTCAAGCAAGGCCTGCTGGAGGCAGTACAGTCCAGGTGGGAAGCAGAGCAAGGGCAAAGGCCCTGGGGCAGACGGGTGGTGTTGGCTCTGATAACGCAGCAAACATCAGAAGCTCTGAGCGAGACTCAGGAGGTGCTATGGCCTCAATGTTTGTGTCCCCCCAAAATTCCTATTTTGAAATCCTGACCCCCAACGATGGTGGTATTAGGAGGTGGGGCCTCTGGAGGGGGCGCTTGGGTCATGAGGGAGGGGCCCCCATGAATGGGACCAGTGCCCTCCCCAGCCCCTCCGCCATGTGAGGACACAACAAGAAGGTGCTGGCCACAGATGGGGAGGAGGACCTTCCCCAGAACGTGGCCATGCGGCCCCTTGATCACGGACTTCCAGCCTGCAGGACCGTGAGCAATAAATGTGTGTTGTTTCTAAGCGTCCCGGTCGGCGGGATCTTGTTATAGCAGCAGGAATGGACTGAGATAGGAGAGCAGCAAAGGAGGGCTCCGGGCAGAGGCGTGGGTATTCCAGCAACTTTAATACAAGAACCAGAGGGTCCTATGGAGGACTGGAGCTTTGACAGAGGACGTGTGAAGACTTCTGAATTGCCCCCGCCTGC